TGGTATTCCGAATATCTGAATTTGCCACAAAATCCCCACTCACAGTCATATTTTATTAAAATATTAAATGTTTTTATCATATTCTTTTAAAATGGTGTTCTTTCAAAAAATGAAAGAAAAAACATCATTTCTAGAGCGTATTATTATCTTTTAAACTTCTGTGATTTCAGAATTTTTGTTATTATTTATTTTATTGTATTAATTTCAAATTATAGCTGAAGCAAGCCAGTCATTGGCGAATTTTTTTAAAATTCCGAAATGAGAAAAGTCAGGAGTATTTCTTTCCTTTCTGGTGAACAAAAAAAAGTGTCTTTAGAACATAATTCTGCAGAAAAAAAATCTTTGTTTTTGTATTTTTTTTCCACCTATTTTACTGCTTCAACTCTCTTTACTGTTTTTTAAATTTAAAATCTATAAAAATGAAGATATGCAGAGAATAACAGTTTTGTTTTTACCTTTCATTTCAATGAATGTTATTATAACGCTTTTTTAAATTCATTGTTCTGTTTTCTTCGGAGAAAATAGTAACTTTGAAAATCTAACATGTAGCAGATACCCTGAGCGAAACAAATTTAACATTACTTCGAACACCCAAAAGCCTACATTATTATTTTTAAAAAAAAATGTATTTTGGTGTTATTTTTGCCAGAAATATTTATAAGAGAAGGGTGTAAATACAGCAAAATAACACGCATCAATGATTGTAGTGTAGGAGGAATTCATTCACTCTGCGCAGGTGGTGTACCAGCATTCCTTCGAGTGACGTCATATCCTCCTCTGGTTGGCTTAGAATCTTCATTCATTTGGCGACGATCTTAAAAAGAAAAAATCACCAGAGAATATTTTATGGACCTTCGAGTTAACTTATTACGTCCTAATCCGTGAACTCTTAATAAGTTTTTCTTAAAAAATAATGTTACATTGCTTGTAGGGATTGTTCATATTTAGAGAGAGATCATTAAAAAAAAAAGTCGTATTTTAGTCTAATAGCTTTAATAAGTCTAAATAAGCTCTTAACACTTTCTTTAAATGTAAAGAATATTTGTTAATTTCAACTCTATTTACATTTCTCTTCAAATTGTAGGGGGAAAAATTTACACATTTTTCTACAGAGTAAAAAAAGCAAGTTTCGGCAAAAAAAACATGAAAATCGTCGCTATATGAACGTTTTGGAACATTGAAATGACTATAAAATNTTTTTTTTTTTTTTTTTTTTTTTTTTTTTTTTTTTTTTTTTTGGATTGATCTAGAGAGTGTGTCAAAAAAGTTTCATGGAATCAAAATGACAGCGCATGGAACTATTTCCGGTTCGATGCAAAATTTATGTTTTGAGAAACACTCACAATAACAAAATTTTGTAGTAAAAAAAGCAAAATAACACTAATATTGTTTTACAAATTCTTATGATTTTAGTAATTAATATGCTTTTTATATCATTTAAATAATGGTCAAAATTAGAAAATCGATTTTTCGAGAGATTTTCACGACTTTGGGAGTCCACTTCTGGGCCGTTATCATTTTTGGACAGCGTTTGCACTTATATTAAGTCGCATGACTGTACTGACTAACGAATAGAAATACTTATCAGATAATACAGACTTATTTAATTATCGAGAAATTAAAAAAAAAAAAAATCTTTCCGACACTATAATGTGCAGTTTATTTTATTGTTTCAAAAAATAAATCGTTAAAAAGAGTTCGTGAGTAATCAAATTTTAAATTTCCGACTTTTTTAAAAAAAAATTTTGTTACTCAGAAACAGTTTGACCTATTTCGTCCTAACTTTGTATTTTGTTATAAAATTTATAAATTGTGTAACAATCTGTATTCATTACAATTTAGCATTTTTTTTCGGTTAAAATAGTTATTATTATTAGAAAATTATTCATCGCATGGAATTATCTTTGGATAAACGAATTTTATAGTGGTGCGCAAAATTTTTTGATTCGTTAAAAATGTTCTCTAAATTTGACTAATTAAGAAAAAAATTAACATTAAGGGGTCCAAAATTTCGACCGCTCTTCTGAACAAACTATTGAAACCCTATTTTTTAGATTGCGGTTACCTTTCATATAGCTTGTCTAAAGTAAGAACTCCCTTAGCCATTCGTCTGAACCAGTGGCGGTCACTATGGTAACGAGGTAACTATTTCAAGCAGGGGTGTGAGGTCAGCGAAAAAAAGGGAATCCTTTCTACGGTCTATTGTGTTATCCTCAGAGCAGTGTTTCCCAAACTGTGGTACTCCCAGGGAGCAGTTTGGCGGGGTTCTTAAGCGAAATATCTTTCATCAAACGAAAATTTCAAAAAAATTTTGTTTAAAAACAAAGCTAGCCATGAAAATTTAAGTATTTTTCTATTGGCTATTTTTTGCAGAGTTAACAGTTAATAATTAGTGGTGTCAACAGCTAGTTGTGATTTTTAAATGTTTTTATGCTAAAAAATATTAGTGGTACACAGCGTTACGAGCAATTTAGAAAGGGAACACTGCCCTAGAGGGAAGAGAAGCTACCTTCCCTGAAATGCACTTTCCATAACAGCAGACTGCCTCAGACTTTCTTACCTTAAACAAACTGTATATTTCTTAAAAATAGGTATGTTTATTCAGAGAAAGTACTTTTTTGTGACTAATTTCGTTACTAAAAATATCACCTGCTCTAATTAATTAGTATGTTTAATGTGAGGCTATAGATAAAGTCATTCGATCAAAAATTATCTTTTTTTCTTTCAGATCATTCTTTTTATTTTGCACTTCGTAAACTGAAGCTAGTTTTTTGTGAGGTTTGTCTTATCAAGAATTTTAAACGCCTGCACAATTTTTTTTGTTCGATAATATAACAAACATTTTTTCAAAACATTCTGAAAATTTTGCATATTTTATTACAAATTTTTCATTTTCTTTCTAAAAAAGAAAAAGGATTTAGTAAATAAACTTATTCATAACCTAAACTATCATATTAAGCACACGATTTTTTCTTCTTCAAAAATTTATATTTATGTAATATAATGGTAAATGGATCTAAATTTTGTGCCATCATAAGTTTTCTATAATATTTAAAATTACCAGTCATTATATGTTTATGAACAAATTCAAAATATTTCTCTTCTTCACAGTGACATTTATAATCGGATATATTAATTTTTCCTAAATTTTTTCTAATACCAATATAATTAAGAATAGGTTCTACCAAGAGATTTATTATATATAAAACTTTTAATTGTGTTAAAATCTTTCAAGGGAAACATATATTTTGAATTTTCAAAAATATTGTGAAATGTAATCGTATCGAAAATAGGGTTTTGAAAGTTAATAACAAAATATAAATTATATACATTTTTCTTTATATTTAGAGAAATTTTACTCATTTTATCTTTTACCAGATCGATACAAAGAATTTAGAAGTGTGTATTTTTTTCTCTCCATTTTTCTTTTTATTCTTTTTGTCTTTATTGTGCTATATGTATAGTTAAAAATATGAGGAAAACATGGAAAAAGTTATTAAGATTTTTTTTTAAATGGAAGAAAAAAAATAATAAATGTTTTTAAACAATTCCCAAATTTGAAAATTTTTTAAATTTTCAAAAGTACAAATATTTATGTACTTGAAGCTTATGCGCCTATTAAATAAGTATTGAATAAGCAAATTTTTTAGTACATAAAACTTATTATTTTTTTAATTTTTTCCCTTTTTGTCTTTATTATGTTATTATATATATGTAGTGATTTGTGGGTCGCTCTGGGGGGGAGGAAAGGCAATAATTAATTTAGCAATTAAACTTAACAGATTTAATAAATAAAGAAAAAAAAGTATAACAGCGACATCTATAGCACAGAGCTGCAGCGATGCAGAACAAAGGTTATATAGGTAGTTCTAAAAATAAGAATTGGTGAATTGAACCACGAATTCCGGGACTTTTCCTTTCTAGACAGTCTGTAACAGTTCATGGTCAATAACAACTCCCATATATATACATGGTGCGTTGAGTTTTTAAAAAGTACTTAAAGTCGCTTACTTTCGTTATTTAATAGCCCTCAAAGGTGCTTTTTTCATTGGGTGTTTTTAAAAAGTGCTTCATTTTTCCCTTTTTAATTGATGAGATTATTTTGTTTTGTTTACCATGTCGATTTTTGCCATGTATTATGCAAAAGCTTGCATTTCCCATTGTTCTATTCAACATTTTCACAATCCATTTTGGCTTACCGTCGGTTCATAGCGTATGAAAGCGCCCATCATTTTACACGTTTGATGAAATACTTGCTGATCTGGGTTCGGTGAGATTATTGCCTTCTTATGTGCTGCAAGATATTCTCCAATTTCAGACTGTATTTTCCACCCTCTGATATCGAACCGAAAAATCTCTCGATCTTTTACGGGGGCCTAATATAATCAAGAAAAGAGTTCTTTTTCAGAAACTATAGTTATTTTATAATGATCATGTAAAGTCTTATTTTGCATAGTGTTTAAAAGGTGCTTATTTTTGTTGTCCTGATACTTCGAAAGCATTGTATTGGGTGAGAATATTTATTTAGAGAATTCAAGTAACGGCCGGGAGGATAGATTAAAACGAGGAACTTTGAAAAAAGGCACAAATATATTTAAATATGTTTTTGTAACATGGGACTGATTGATTAAAGACATTTTCTGAGATATCCATATTCTTATATTATTACTTTTTTTTTTTTTGAAAATTGATTACGCGTTATACAGTCCGCTATAACGAACCTTCAAGGGATCGAAATTTCGGTTCACTATATCCGTACTGCGAACAATTTTAACTCATTTTTCCGAACCCTTTTATGATTCATTTTTTAAATAAATGACCCATTAAAAAAAATTGCAAAAATGATTAAAAAAAAAAATGTAATCACTAAAAATATGTTCACTTTTATTTTTTTATGACACTTGGTCTTGCGTACAAAAAATGGAGGGATGGGTATTTGTATTTTATGTAGAAATTTCAAAATGACCTAAAAAAGAGGAAAACAAAATCAGTCCAAAGCAGAAAAAAGAGTCCTCTCTTTTCTTGGTTCATTATATCCACAAAAAATAATATGTGTATTGGAGCGAACATCGCTCACTATAACGGGGTTTGATTGTATTAAATTTCTTTTAATATTAGGGATTGCCTCCTCTCTTGCGTCGCGTACGTGTAGATGTGACAATGAAGGCCGCATTCTTCGAGTAGAAAAAGAAACCAGTTTCTCGCTTTGGGTGAAATAGCTGGCGGCAGCCAAATGGGGCGATTTCTCACGAAGTTCCTCTCTCTCTTCTAGTCGAAAGAATGGACGAGGCAAAATAAGAAATCGAGGAAGTTATGCACGGTCGGAATGCTTTTGGGGATCATGCGCAGTTTATACGCCTGTCTCAGGGGATGGATTACGCACCGGTCGGTAAGTGCTGCACTCCCTCCCACATTTGAAAATATTTTTGGAAAACCCCTGATTTGCTGCTTTGTTTAATTCGTCGCGTAGCTGTAGCCACGAAAGCAAATTCCATTCCGTAGATTTGCTTCATATTACCCAGAGAGGAAAAAATCCGGATTTCCAGATTTTTTCGCTAACCACTATCCGGAAGTTTTAAGATATCATCCATCACATTTATGTATAAAAATTCTTGTACATTTTATTTAAAAATATTAGAACTAGAATTTATACTCTTTCTTTTGTAAATTTTTTTTTTTCTGTTTGAATGTGTGATTAAACTTATTTAAATTATGCCGCATATAATTTATTTAGAATTTCGTGTTGATCAATGATTGAACGTTTTTGAAATGATTTTACTCCAGAAATGAGTTGGGCTTATCCCTGCTTCGATGCAATGTAAAGACTGCTTCCGTGAAATGACCATAAGAATTTTTTATTATCTAAAGCTTCCAAACACTAGCGTAGCAAGAACTAGTTGTCTCAGCTTTTCCATTGTTTTCTCTTATTTTAATTTTTTCTTTAATAAACAACAGGTTGCCAAATTTATTATGTCCTTTTCTCCATTAATATTTTTTTGATAAAATAAATTTCTTTTTTTTTTCTTTTCATTAATCACAGTTTTAGAGAACGCCCAATTTCTAAAATTATTTTTTCTTATTTTTCTAATTAATAAATTTTGCGAAATATCTTAAGGTGCAAATTTATACGAATAAAATATATTTGAGTAATTGTATTAAACTGCTCTTTAAATAATTATTTAATTTTAAAACGCAGTTTTAATGATATTAAAATGTGGTAGCATTTTAGGATTCAAAATATTTTTTTGTACTACTTCTTTAAAATAAATATTGGAAGTTATTTATTTTTGTAGCTATACATTTTTATTGTGTGGCATTTTGTAACAAGATTTTAGGTAATTTCATACTGTTCAGGTTTACTTTTTAATATTGTTTTAAATTGTTTATTTTTTATTTCTGGTGGTATAAATTGTTGTTTGAGTTGTACAATATGAAAGGGATTGTCATTATTAGTGTTAGTATTCAAAGCATAACAAAATATTCTGTGCATGGTTTAAAAAAAAAGAAAAAAGAAAGACAATAATTATTGGAATATTCTCAGTCATTGCTTCATTTTTGTTGTTGCTAAAACTATACTTGTCGCATTAAGAATATAATACAGAATATAGTGGAGAGGAAAATATTAAAAAAATGGTACGAGGGTTGCTATTTATGTTTCTGGCCTAATAATGAAAAAACAAATATGTAGGATCGAAAATGGTTTTATTGTTTTTCAAAATATTCTCCATGATGATCAATACACTTTTGCATATGTTTGAACCAATTTTCAAAGCACTTTTTCCAGTCCGACTGAGGTAACTCCAAAACATGCGTTTTGAATGCATCAACCGCTTCTTCGGGGGTCGAAAATCGTTGTCCACGTAATTTATTTTTGATGTGTGGGAATAAGAAGAAGTCATTGGGTGCCAAATCAGGGCTGTACGGCGGATGACCCATCAGTTCGATCTTTCGCTCCGTCAGAAATGCCTTTGTTTGAGTCGATGTGTGAGAGCTCGCATTGTCATGATGAAGAATGATTCGCCTGTTCTTCTGCTTTTTTCGAATTTCTCCGATGACTTCTGGCAAACAAATGGTCGTGTACCATTCAGAATTGACCGTCCTGCGTTGCTCTAACGCCACTGTTGCCACATGACCGTTAATGCCGAAGAAACAGGCAATCATTTGTTTCGATGTGCTTCTTCCTCGAACAACTTTTGTTGGTTTTGCCTCGTCTTGGAAGACCCATACAGTTGATTGCTGTTTTGTTTCCGGCTCATATGCATAGATCCATGATTCGTCACCTGTGTAGATGTTATACACAGCCTTTGATGTACCTTGAACGTATTTTTCCAACATTTCCTTGCACCAATCGACACGAGCCTTTTTTTGAGCGTTTGTCAGATTATGCGGGATCCAACGCGAACAAATTTTTTTTACGCTCAAATGTTCATGCAATATTTTATTGATGCTAGTCATACTAATGTCCAAAGACGCCTCTATCTCACGGTATGTCACATGACGATCTTGCTTTATCAGTTCACGCACAGCATCGATCTTTTCTGGCACAACAACGGATTTTGGACGACCTGCACGGGATTCGTCCTGGATCGAACATCGACCACGATTAAATTCGTTATACCAATTTTTTACAGTGCTGTAGGATGGCGCTTTATCGCTGAATAAAGAATTAAGTTCATCGAAGCACTCTTGTCTTGACAATCCACGTCGAAAGTTATGAAAAATAATGGCACGAAAATGTTCACGATTCAATTCCATTTTTTGAAAGAGAAGAACTTTTCAATTTACTGTCAACAACACAAATGAAGCTATAATGGTAAATCGTCTGCTGAATTTATGTTTAAAAATATCAAACTTTCGATTAAAATCGTCTGCGGTCGCCTAGCAACACTTACTGTTGCCATGGCCAGAAATGTAAATAGCAACCCTCGTATGAACACCTTCCCTTACTAATTTTTTTGAAAAAGAAAAGCATAAAAGTAGCATATTTTTTTATTTTATCAATAAATACAATGAACTAAAGTTAAACATAATACACCTGTTCTATGTTTTAAATATTTTTATGTGTAAAAATTATACTTTACTATCCCGAGTTATCAAATGAAAAAAGTTAAATATTAGTCTTTGTATGATAGTTCTTAAAACACGAACCTTTCAAACGTCAGTGAAGGAATCAGTAACAATCGCACAATCCCCAAACGAAATTTGGCTAATTTGCAAGTGTAGCAGATTATGTTTGCTTCCAGCAGAGTTGAAACGTGACAAATTCTGCTAGTTTTCTCGAGATAATAAATATTTGCAATACCCGGGATAAACAGGGAACCAAAATGAGTTTTCTTTTCGCCAAGAATTATGTAAAAAGACAACAGTTTCGATCTTTAAAACTCGGTAGTACAGTGGAGAGGCTATCTTTACGTATGTAATCTGGGGAAAAGTTAAAAACTGATTTTACGGAAGTCTTTTTTATATATGATTTCCTATTTTTATCTCCGATAATTAAACAAATTAAGGTATTGGATATATCGCAATTTGACACATTTTTAATTATTTAATATTCTCTGCAGCAAAATTTAAATTTTTAACAGTTATTTTCACAAAAAGTTTTATGTTAAAATAATTCAAGAACATAATTGTTGGAATTGGAGCACTTGTAATTTTACATATGTATGTTAATTTAATATTACTTCATATTTATAATAGCTAATAATTATCCTTAAACTTTGCCTAATTATGATATTTTTTAAAGTGCTTAAAAACATTTTTTGAGTGCTTAAAAGGTATCGATTTTTTGTTTAAAAATGTGGCTACGCACAATATTCTGATATTTAAAATTTCTCCGAAATAAGAAGAAAAAAATAAAACATTCTGAAAATATAATTTCTTCACTTTCTTTTCCTTAACAGTTTGCTCCCTATTTAATGTATACTTTTAGAACTTTTGTTAAAAACGAAGTAAAAAGAGAGAAATTCATATCATATCCATAAATATTTAAGTGCGGGAGAAACTTAATCGCTTCATTTTGAATTGCTAATGAAAAACACAAAAATAAGTTTGATTTTCCGAATTTTTTTTTTTTTAAATTCTTCTCAATTTTCCCCGACAGTCAAACAGGTTTTGATGCTTTCAGGGTGTTAAAAAAAAGTGTTTATTACGGAATTGTTTTTACGGCTACGGAGTTGAACATTAGTAGTCGTAAACCCACAAAATTAGGTCGGCTGTTCAACGACGGTTATAAAGTATAACAAAAGGTTATTTAAGGCATTTCCATACTAGGAAGAAATTACTTTTCCTGAAGGATATGTTCAAAATCTACTTTATAGAAAGAATCTACTTTATCGAAGAAATCGACTAAAGTGAAATTTTTATTCTATGTTATTAATATAAATAAATAAACAATTACTATTAAAAGAATTTTTTAAAAATTATTATAATAACTTTATTTAATAACTGTCCTTGGAACAGCTGTCCCAATTTTGGGTTTACAACTACTCATGCCGTAGCCTTGTTATTTTGAGCCCAATCCAAAAGACAAGGGAACTCCTTGATCAAGTATTGGAAGACCTTCGTGAAAGACTTTTTGATGGAGTTAACCCACATTTGCGTTACGTGGGTAGGAAAATCTCCCATGGTTAGCCTGACGGCAAGGGGACTCCAACCCATGATCCGTCTATCGCTGAGGATGTTTTACTTCAGCGCTGTGGTCGATAATATTATTCAAAATATTTTAGTGTTCAACATTCTTGAAAAGTAATTAAGATTGTCCTGCTAGAATGTGCTCTACTTTTTATCGCTCTGAAAATATATAATAAGTCGAATTCAACTTTTCTTTCTAGATTGACTAGCACAACCTATCTATCACGAATCGACTTATTTTATAGTCTTCGTTTTAACATCCGAGATAAGTCCCTCAGTGGACTGACTGTCAAGCAACACTTGGATTAGTCTGCATAGGGACCGAGGGTGTGCGGTATGGGTCTACCTTAAAGTGCTCGCTTGCAAGTCGTCGGGCTACCGAAGCCCTTCTGCAGAAGATCAAAATCGTGCGGATCAGTGCAGCTCTAGTGAGACGTAAATGAACCAAACTTTAAGGAGGTTCACCTCATAACAAGAAAATTGACTCCAATGGTCAGACGAAATATCGTTCTATTTTTATTCCATCATGCCGAAAGCAGTTTTCTTGATAGCTGCGAATATAATGAGGGTGGAATTGCGTTCAATTAAACCAATCAGAAGCCTGTATTTTTGTAAACGCATTTTGCGACATGCAAAAAGAAAAGACTTTTGATTGGCCAAATGTGTCCATCGTCATTGCGAATATTTTAGCTGAATTCCGCACTAGAAAGCCATGGATTTACGAAATATAGATTTTTTGTGTTCAATGAATGAAGAAGC